TTCTCAAGTGTTTATCTCCCAAATTATCTTTCCTTTAATTGCTTGCAGTAAGTTTAACGTGTGCGGTTGGGTCTGTGACCTCCTCCACTGTTCATGGTTTTAAAAAGCGACTCTGCTAACAGGCAAGTGCTGCTGGGTCAGGCTTTCTGTGCTTGGGGAGTAAAACGTTTTGACTCTAATGTTCTGCTCAGATCTGACTTTCTTTAAAATAGAAGTTGGACCAGCTTGTATCAATAGGGTATTTTGGAACAGGGAGAATTCAAAGCGGGGAAACAGCTGGATTGACTTAAAAGATAATTTCTTATCTGTTACTGTCTGAAACGTGCAGATGCTTGGTATTTACTTTTTTCTGAACTTTTTTTGACTCTTGATGATAGATGCGTGGTTAATCCCAGTGAATCCACTTGAAGGCGAGTCCATTTGATAGGGACCAAACCTATCAGCTCTGTGGTAATCTCCTAATTGTATCATTTTGCTTTACCAACCTCCCCCCAAAGCTGTACCTGCTTTCATCCCTAAGCCTCCTAGCTGCCTGTACTTACCTGCACCACATGGTACTGCAGCATGGTTTTTACAAGAACAATGCCAACCCCCTGTCATCTTGTCCTGTTGGGTTCTTATTTTTGCCCTGTTTTCTCAGAGCAAGCGGTGCCCACCCGTGCTGCTTGGGGGGGAGAGGGGGTGGGGGTGGGGGGTGAAGAAGGGAAGTGAAATATCATTTCCTGTAACTGAGTTTGGGGGGAACTGGTGATGCAAGCTTGGACTTGCTCGCCTGTTGTTGCTCTGGTGAGCCGAAGCAGTGACAGCTCCGTGATGATGCTGTTGGAGACACAGGGAAGGGAGAGCTGCCTTCTTCCATGCACAGTTCAGGCTGGGTGGTTTCACTTTGGTGCGAGAGTCCCAGAATCCAGGTGGACAGGAGTCTCGGAAGAGGATAAAGTCAACCAGGCTGACTTTGGCCTTGCTGGTGGCAAACAGGTGTTGTCAGAAATGCTGGCAGCCCTGAGGCTGTTAAATATAATCTTCTTTGTCCTAAAAGGCTAGCAGTTAAAGAAGGAAAGAAAGGTAATTTGATGTACCAGTAAATACCATCTAATTAAATATTTCAGAGTAGATACTAATGGCTGTATGGTTCAGAAAGGATTTTTTACGTGGAATATCATGTTTTGAAGTCATGTGATGTTTTTTACCTTAACTGTTTGAAAAATCTATGAACTTGAATGCCAAAATGTAGTCTGTCTTCCCGCAGTGAAGTTCTAGGTTGTCTTGTGCTGGTGGATTTGAGAGTCTAGGCATCTCCTACAGGAAACCTGAAGCTGTTTTCTCACCTTTATATACATGTCTATATTAAAAGCAACCATCTTAGAGGTAGAATATTCTGGATATGATTTTTTTTTTCCCCATTAGCTTGTGGAGAAGTGGTAAGGTTATAACCCCAAGCAGTATGAAGAGCTTCACTAGGTATCCCTCATGCTTCCAGGGAAATCTGATGCAATGCGCAGCTTGACACCTGCAATTTAAGTACACTCCATAGGCCATAGCAGCATCTTAACAAATAGCTTGGCAGAGAACTTCCAGGAAAGTTTTGTCCAGAAGAAAGCAGAAACTTCACTATGGTGTGTGTCTGGTTATTACTCTTGCTGTAACTTCAGGTTTTCGTACTGCAATTACCTCTCGATGCTTTGGGCAAAAGTGCTTCAGCAGCATGCTGAGAATATGCTAGTCTGGCATTTTTGACTGTAGGAGTGAGAATTCAGCTGTGACGTGGCTGTTTACATCCATCAGTTTTGCCCTCTGCACTGGTGGATGCTCTGGGGAAGTGTCAATGCTCTCTCACTTGTCATCCTTAATTAGATACCCCCAATTAGGAGCGCAAGTACTCTGTGTTTGCTGAGGGGTGCTGGGAGGATATGGCTACTTCTAGGGCTCTTCAGAACACCTGTAACAGAATAAAGTAAATAGCTGAGGTAGGTAGTGTGAATATTCCTCCTGCTCTCTTTTTCCTTAAAGAACTTGTGTTGCATGTTGCAGCTAACAGCTCACTGCAGCGATACCTTAACAGATCTTCTGGGGCAGACAGAGGGGCATGGCTGAAACCAGAAAGGGAGAAGAGTGAGGAGCCAAATGCAGTGATTGAGGATGTCCTCACGGATTGGTATGAGGAAGTAGTCCTTGTTGCAGTCCCAATAAAGAGCAGAGATTTGAAAGGGAGGATGGATGGCTCATCCATCACTGTAACCATGAAACAGCTGCTCAATCTCCTAGCCACATACTTAAAAAACAAAACAAAAAAAGGAACTCAAATGAGCTTGGAAAAATAAAAAAGGCTCCTGGACCTCCATTGTTTTGTGGACGTGGTATGGCCGATGACTACTAGTGAGAACTAAGCGTGACATTAACAAATGGTAACATGTCATTTTGACAGAAAGCAAAGCGACAGGTTTTGCTGGATGATGGTGGTTGCTGTTAGGTAATGGGAGCATGTATTAACTTTTGAGTCATCCTTTATTATAAGGCTTAATGTGTACAGGTACTTGTGCTTGATGTATCTGTCTCATGGCATCACTCTTGCGTGTGGGATATAATTGGCTTTCAGAAGATAATTTCAGAGTCCACCCTGTTTTTTGTTTGAGCAGCGTGAACATTTGAACAAAGTGAATGCTAAGGCTTTTTTTCTCTGGCAGAAATCCACTGCCTCAGAGTTGCTGGGATCACTTGCAGCAGTAGTTTCGCTGAGTGAGTTCAGAGTTTTGCCCCTGGTATCTTCCTTCTGTTTAAGCACTCAGGCTTCAGGGTGGAATTTGCCAGTGTAAGTCCTGCAAAACCTCTGCAGCTTGTTTTGATGTCTTGAGTAGGAACAAGTGATGTGCGAGGGTAATTTTTTTGCCCCTTTGCTGGGGGATAAGCTTTACACTTTTTAATTTTACTTCTTCGCTGCCTGCACATAAACAGACTGCTGTGTTTTCTGTTGAGTGGCATCGTGTGCATGCTGTGGTGAAAACTGATTTTGTGGACCAGATGTGGATTTACAGGCAACTTGAAATATCCCATTGCAAGTTAAGTTTCCTGAATGTGTTAGGTACTACTGAATTTGAGGGCAAGAGACTAAAGGTCAAAAACTTGTCCCTCGTTTCTCCTCATCTGTGTTCTTGATGTGGCTTTCAAGATTATTCAAAAGCACATGTTTGCAGGCACTGTTGTTATTAAATATGACTTTTTTTTTTTTTTTCTGAGCTTCCTTGTGTGACCTCTATCAAGTGGGTCACACTGACACTCACAATAATGAGTCACATCAACAGTAAATGCAAACCATGTGGGTTTTCCCCCCTTCTTTTACACATGGCTTCTTGTTGCTTTCTAAATGCTGACTTGAATTTAAACCCCGTTCAGCACCTGAATATATCTTTGGGATGGGGAACTGTGTATTTGGAGGTTTCTGTTGAGAAACCAGGGCTTGATGTCATTACTTGCGCTACTAAAATATGTTCTTTGCCACAGATTTCCTGTGTAAGCTCAGACAAGTCATTTAATCCTTTGAATTTTTTTTTTCCCCTGCCTTGGTTCATCTGCCTGCAAGTGGGAATGTTGCGAAGCTTCTCTAAAGTACTGCAGAGCAGACCCATGAGCTGCGCTGAAGGGTCTCGTTTTGGGTGGTGCTCTACAGGCACAGAAGAAAAGATGCTTATGTTTGGGAACTAGGTACACAAAGCGTAGGAGGAGAAACAAGCTTGGTGGTGAGGTGATTTGCTCATACTTGCATAATAGGTTTGTGACAGGACAGGGACCAAAGGACTTTTGCCTAATGGCCCAAATACTGTAACCAATAAACCAGGCTTCCCACAACTTTTTCTTTTAACTGGAGTGCCTACAGCATACAGCGTCTTATTAGTGCTTTGAGTCACGCTGGGTGAAGAACCTGTGGGGTTGGTCCAGCATCAGCGACAGGCAGCAAGGGTTGTTTAGAACTGTCCTCAGTTTAGGCTGTGGGCAAGCAAGTCCTGGGGATTCACTAGTCATCCTGCTTAAGCATGGCAGTTTGCTCTCCTTTCAGTAGCAAGTGGCCCTGGGATCCCCGTGTTGCTCTCCTGTCCCGCCTCTGCGATCACCAGCTCTCAAAATGGCTGTTGGGGTGTTAATTTTTTGCCATGGTGTTGGGTAAGGATGCAGGACCAGTGGTAGCCCTGTGCCCTGGTGGTAGTAACTGGCCACATGTTCTCTTTTTTTGTTGAACACTGTGGCTGTGTGTCTGCTCGTAGCCCATTGGAGCTGGGCAGTAAAGTGATAAGCTGAGCTTAAATCTCATGTTGGGGAGAAGTGGGGGAACATGGTACATGTGCTGAAGAAAGCAGTGTAGTTCAGTGCTTCCCCAGCTACGACTGGAGAGTGTAGCATCTTCTCTCCTCTCCCGACCTCCCAGTTTGGGGACTGGGGCTGCCCAGCTGGGGCAGATGGTATCGCTAGCACCCAGAGCATCCCTTTGCTCCACTTCACAGGGTGAGCTTGGCAACCCTCCCAGTTTCAGATCCATTGGGAATATAGACTTGGAAGGGGAACAAAGTACTCAGCAAAAGGTGGAGTCCGATCTGCGAGGCTGGAGAAGGTGCTGGTTTAAGCCACCGGGAAGGGAGTTCAAGCGTACGTGTTTTACTTAGTATGCGCCAAGTCATTTGCCACAGCTCAGCTGATGGGCAGTAACTGAGGCTGTAGTAATTTAATTGCTTTTGATCATGTGCTTATATCCTATTTAATCTTGGAGTCAATTGCTGGTGGTTTGACTTTTTCTTTTGGGAGAGGGTTTAAAATTGTCCCATAATATTCAAGTTGCAGTCTTGCAAGAGACAAGCACTTGTGACTGCCGCTGAGCTGGATGGGCTAATACTCAATGCTGTCATAGATTTCCTGCGTTTGTTGATGTGGGTCTTTGAAGGTTGAGGTTATGACGGTCACATTACTAGCTCTGTCATATCTCTAACTTTCTCTTTCTTTCTTCCCCCAGTGGCTTAACTCACGAGTCTCACAGGAAGGATGTTGAACAGGTCTACCTCCGCTGTTCTGAAGGGTCCATAGAGTGGATGTATCCCACGGGAGCACTCATAGTCAACCTGCGACCCAACACTTCACCTGCCTCTTACAAACATTTGACTGTTTGCATAAAGCCCTTCAAGGACTCTGCAGGAGCAAATATTTATTTGGAAAAAACTGGAGAATTGAAACTCTTGGTCCGAGATGGAGATCGCAGTAAAGTCTATTGCTTTGGCTATGATCAGGGGGGCCTGTTTATTGAGGCCACTCCTCAGCAGGACATTAGCAGGAAGATTACAGGCTTCCAGTACGAATTGATGAACAAGGGGATAGCATCTGATTTGCACACAGTTTCTGGTGAGTTCTGGGATATTGGGCATATTTTCACCTACTGTATGGGATGCATAACAGATGGCAGAGTGAGTGAGAAAGTGGCTGGGTCTGAATTTCATATGCTTTTAAGGACATGTTTTATAAACAGGCTATTGTGGCAGAATTGATTTTTTTTTCTGTTTGTTTTTTTTTTTTTTTTTTTTTTTTTTTGTTGTTGTTGTCGTTGTTGTTTTTTGGAAGCTGGTAGCATAGGCTGAATTCCAAAGGATTTGCTAAGGGCTACATTGTGAACGGTTCTCCCCTTGCAGGCGTGGGGTCAATCACAGGAGTTGGCTTTACCCTGCAGTGAACTCCAGTGTGAACTGGGCTTCCGAGCCTTGCTGTAACAGTTTTCTAACTACTTTTAAACTCAGTTTTTAAGACCCCACTGCATGTTTTGAATAATAAACATTTAAACAAGGAGGAACTCCTTTTTCATGGTGGGTTTTTTTCCTCTGCAACTACTTGCTGACCTAATTATTCCTTTTTTTTTTTTTTTAAACAAGGAAAATGGTGTGTTCCTTCCTCAGCTCTGCTTACCACACTCTCCTGAGCATTACTGTGCCATGGCAGGGCTCTTCAACACCATGACAATACTTTCACAAGTGCTGGTGTTGTCTTCTCTCTCAACCATTATGAAAAGCAAGTTCCTTAGGGAGGAGTTTTACACCAAGGAAAAACTTGTAGGAAGGGGGAGTGGACAAACTGAAAGAGCTTACAAGCTTGTAAAGTCTAAGTCTGATGCTAAATAGCAAACTAAGTACTATTTGGGAACAATAGCTCTAGGTGTAACCTAATTATGCCAATCAATTAGACAGTTTGAGAAGAAGAAAAACTAGCATTTGTGGAGGATGGCAGGGGGAAGGGGAAATTCTCTTTAGCTTAGGCAGTGTCTCCTCCATTCAGAATTGCCTCTAGCTTTTATCCCCAAAAGCAAGGAGGGGAGATTTCCAGAATAGCCTGAGGAATGGCAGATCTAGGGTAGTTTGCCCCAAATGACTAGGGAGGTTTCAAGGGTTAGACATGTTAAGCGGGGAGGCCATGGTGGCAACCAGATTTCTCTTTTGAAATGGTAGGGAGTGGAGGCAGCTCGGCAGCAGGGAAGAAGGGTCCTCACAGCACGCTTGGGGTGACTCGGCCTGGGGTAGAACCTGCCTAAGATGCCGTACGAGGCTGTCTGGATTCTGCATAGGCTGTCTAGATTCTGTGGTAGCAATGCCATTTGCTTTGCCTGAGATGCTACTTGATGAGCAGTGGTGTGGCAAATTAAACTGCAGTTGAATCTTCTAGGCATTGCATCCCTCGTCCTTTTTGGGGGGATAAGTGACTGCAGAACTTGAGTCCCATCCTCTCCCCTCCCCTGGCTTCCTTCCACAACAGGACTCTGGATTTGTATGTTTGTATATTTGTGCGTACTCACTGCCCTGCTGTCGGTTAGATGTTGGCACACCAATTCAGATGTGGCTTTTTTTTGGTACAGATCTTAGTTGGATGGGGTGAACAGTTCTTAACTCAGCAGGCCGGTAGGTAGCTGGCTGAGGGCTAATGCAGTAACCCCAATAACTGATAGATGGCGTGTTTGCCATTAGAACAAAGAAACTATAAACACAAATACTCAAGTTTACTTTAAGTTGCCTTCTTTACTCTTGCCGTGTATGCAACTTGTAGCTTACTATCGAGGGTTCTGCATTTGAAGCAGACTTCTCTGCTTCTACATTTTACAAGCGTGGCAGAAGAAGCAGGGTGTCCGCTGCAGAGCTGTTTTCCCAGTAAGAGCAAGGATGAATATGCTGTGCAGAATGTTAGTTATGTGGTAAAATACCATTGCAGAAGACATTAAATACATTGTTTAATCAGTTATTTGGAGAATGTTCCCAGACTCAGTGCTTCTTTCTTTGACAGACTGGGAGGATGGAGACACAGGCAGGCGAGCGATTAAGTCACTTAAACTTACCCAGGAAAGTCCTATACTTTTTTTTTTTCCCCCCCCAAAAAAGGTTGGAATTGCTTTTGCATATAGGTAAAATAATATGTGAGAAATACTGCTTATCATTGCTGGGTTTAGTTTGCACATAGATACAGTTTGTGCGGAGCTTTGCTAAAATCAAGAGGACTCGCTGCTGGCTTACTTAACATCGCAAGCCGGCACGAACTGCTGTGTTTTTAGAATGAAGTGCTCTTCGTTCCATGTACAATCTTGGAGATTTTTAAAGCTGATGGGAGTTTTCTTCAGAGACTTTCAGAAGTCGAACTGAGGACTGAATCCAATTACAGCCTTCCTCTTTGATAGGCACATTAAATCACTTTTGCTGTGACTGCTGTATTTTCAGCTGTAACAGACGCCGGTTGGATTTCAGTGTACAGCACTGTGGTAGGGTATCTGCTTCACACTCCGGGTGTCTTGTTTGGACAGAAGACGCTTTTTAATAGTTCATCAGCAGAGCCTTCAGGGCAAACTAGGGATCTCTATTGTATTTTAAATTATTTCTCTTGCCTGTTTTTGGATCCCCAGACTCTGGGGAGGGGTGGCGGGGGGGTGAAAACACGATGAAAATGCCATACATGACTCTTTCCACTCTCAGTCAGACAAGCACTTTTATTCTCCTATAAATATCTATATGTCTGGGGAAACTGCCAAATAGCTGCCTTCTGAGGCTTCTATAGAGCAATATATTTGGGGCTCTTTGCAGTTTGTGGACCTCCTTTTTTCTGGAGCTGCTTCTGGTTTTTCTGTGAAACCTCCAAATAAATGTTCATTGGGAAAGGAAGTTTACAACCAAATGACTGAAGTCACTGGTGGCTTCTTCATTGGAAAGGGGGCTCAAGCCAGAGGCAAGTGCTGACCTTATGGAGCTGAAAACTGGATTTAAGGTTCTGCATTTCTCCCCAAGCATACTTCTGCCCCTTGGTCACAAACGTGGCTTTTACAGCATTTTGGCTGTTGCTCACTGGAAAAACGAGCCTGCTCATCTCCCACCAAATGACTGAAGTCACTGGTGGCTTCTTCATTGGAAAGGGGGCTCAAGCCAGAGGCAAGTGCTGACCTTATGGAGCTGAAAACTGGATTTAAGGTTCTGCATTTCTCCCCAAGCATACTTCTGCCCCTTGGTCACAAACGTGGCTTTTACAGCATTTTGGCTGTTGCTCACTGGAAAAACGAGCCTGCTCATCTCCCAGTTGCAGTTTGTGGGCGTTCGGCGGGGCGGGCGCTATGTGTGAAGAGGTGACAGGGACGTGAGCCGCCACTGCGGATGGGGCGGA